TTCTCCTTCCTTCCTTCCTTCCTTCCTTCCTTCCCTTCCTCCTTCCCTCCCTCCCTCCAGTCCTTCCTTCTTTCTTCCTCTCCCTCCCTCTCCCCCTCCCTTCTTTTCTTCCTCCCTCCCTCCCTCCCTTCTTTTCTTCCCCTCCCTCCCTCAATGGCATCCTTCAATCCACTAAAATGATGACTTTTTTCATCCTGAGTCTAACAGCCTCTCTGGCCCTTCTCCCCTCCAGATGCAGTCAGGTGGATCCAGCGCACCTGTGCCACCGTCCTGCCCTTCATCTGCAAGTACAAAGCTTCCTTCTAGATCCCACCATCAGCGGAGGAGACGAGCAGAGGGCCTCTTCCTCACTGGGGACCATCTAAGGCAGCTTCTGCAACACCTCGATTCCATCGGAGATCAACCTCCTGACCCTCCTTGACCCCAAAATGACAACCTCCCTCCTGTGCTTTTTTGCTAATTGTTGATGGTTGCTAACCTTAATGTTCTTAAGGTTTTTATACCGGTGCTTTTATCCCATCCTGAGCTGCCCAGAGTCACACTGAGATGCCCGCATATAAATTTAACAAATAAATCAATTGCAAACTGGTTCTTGGGTTTACTGAACTAAAATGGAGACGATCCTTTCTCTTTTGAACAGGCTAGATTTGTTTGGCCCTCAAGGAAATAGATGTGAACACAGCTACAAACCCCTCTTTGTGGGTCATTGTGACATCCAGAACTTGGTTTGCAAAGTATTTCAAAGCCACCAGCCCAAAGGCCAGGCATAATCTTGGGGGGAGCCGAAACTGGGCAGTCCGGGAGCATCTACTAGAACTAAGGAGAAACTTCCTGACAGTCGGAACAATTAACTAGTGGAACAACCTGCCTCCAGAAGCTGCGAATGCTCCAACACTGGGAGTTTTTAAGAAGAGACTGGACAGCCATTTGTCTGAAATGGTATAGGGTTTCCTGCCTGAGCAGGGGGTTGGACTAGATGACCTCCAAGGTCCCTTCCAACTCTATTATTATTATTATTATTATTATTATTATTATTATTATTATTATTATTATTATTATTATTATTATTATTATTATTATTATTATTATTATTA